CCAAGTCAGAATCCTGGCATTTAGCAGAAAAAAGAGTTCCCAAGAATCCTTTACCAATCAGATCTCATTTTCCCTACATCAAGAAGCTTTAAAAAAAGATTTCCTTTGGATAAATGCCCAGTAGTGGGATTGCTGGATCCTACGGTAGTTCTGTTTGTAGTTTTTTGAGGAACCTCCATACTGTTCTCTGCAGTGACTATACTAGTTTACTTACAGAAGTAAAAACAAGAACAGAGGTTACTATAGGCTAGTAAGGGTAGGGGGAAGAGAGGATAGGAAGAGTTTGTTAAAGGATATAAAATCACAGCTAGGTAGACATAAGCTCTCTAACACTGTACGATAACTATAGTTAACAATAATAAATTTTTTGAAGTAGCCAGAAGAGGGGACATTGAATGTTCCCAACACAAAGAAATAATAAATGTTTAAGATGATGGATATGCTACTTACCCTGATCTGATCACTATACATTGTACGTATTGAAACATCACTATGTACCCTATAAATATGTGTAATTATAATGTGTCAATTAAAGATAAATTTTTAAAAATTCCCATAATTAGGTGTCAGAAACCTTTGGTTTTTCAAAATCTATTTTCTAAACAAGTAGGGGTAAAAAACAATTGCCCGGGGAGCTTTCCAAAATATACATCTCTCTCCACCTCCCAGTGAAAGTAATATAATGACGACCTTTTAGTCAAGCCACTCTTCTATAATGAAGTACTCTGGGGAAAAAAACAGCCAACAGATACAGCTATTGAGTATCTATCAAATGCCAGGAACTCTCCTAACATGCTTTACATATAGCATTTCTAATCAATCCTAAAGTTAGATATTATCTGTATTTTATTTAATGTGGAAACTTAACCTTGGAAAACCTGGGTGATGTGGCTCTGTCTGAGAAGAATTTGCTGAGTGAGATTATAACCCGGGTCTGTGTTTCTCCACTACACTCATGTTGCCACCAAGAAATCATTTCCATTTTTTAATTCTATGCCAAATATGGCAGGCTGCTCAGTGGAGTATCACCGGCACACTGTGGTGCCGCGGGGGCTGCACTGGCTGGATTTGAATCCCGCTTGGCCACTGCCAGGCTGGGTAACCACGGGCAGGCTACTCAACCAACCTCTTTGTTCTCAGTTTCCTCATCAGTCAAACGGAGATACTATTCCCACCCACGTCATGGGGTTCTCTTAAGGACTAAGTTAACACGCAGAGAGCATGGTGCCTGACACACAGCAGGCATTCACACACATCAGCGCTCTTGTCATGGTCGGTCCCCTCGAGCCTGCTCTTGCTGCTGTTACTTCCTACTTCAGGCCACAAACCTGAGTCATTCTCAGTCCTTCCCTCTTGCCATTTCTAGTCAGTGGGCAAGGACTATCAACTCTATCTCAAGTACAATGTCTCTTGATTTCCACTGTCACCACCCGAGTCAGACTACTATCGTCTCCTCTCGTGTCTACTTTATCAGCCTCATAACTGGATCTGCCACTAGACTCGCCTGTTCCAGTCCATCTTCCACAGCACAGCTAGGGGAGTTTCTTGGAACAATGAAAACCGTGTTACTCCCTTGTTTTGAACGTCTCAGCAGCTGAATTTCAATGCCCCAAACATAGTCGAAATACTCTCCCTCGGTTTACAAGACCATTGACTTACCCACCTATTTCTCCTGCATAATTTTTTACCTCTCTCTAAGCTCTTCAAGCTATAGAAACATTGAGGGTCTTTCTTTAGTTCCTTGAATAAGCCATGTTCTCTCCACACAGGCTTTTTATACAATGTTCCCTCTGATTGGCTAACACATTCTTCCAGTCTTAGGTAAGTTCTCCCTCTGGAATTATCCTGCCCTAGTATCCCTGTGATATTATGATATAATGAGAAATATGTGTCCCTGGTTTCTGGCATGGGAGCTTCTAAAACCCTTGGAATTTCCTGAGTGATAGCAGTGAGAGGAGTATCTTTTGTTATCCAAAATGAGCCCCTTTCAATCATGCCTGAGTTAATGCTAATGAGGTGATTCTTGGTGGGCCCCTGGATAGCTTCATGATGAGAGCTGGCTGCTAGAAGAACCAATCATGTGATTAGAGGTAGAATTTTCAGTCCCATTTCCCCCACTAACCTCTACGGAGGAAGCTGGAGATTAAGTTGATCACCAATGGTCAATGATTAATCAATCATGCTTACATAATGGGATCTCCATAAAATCCCCTAATGAAGGGGTTTGGAGACCTTCCAGGCTAGTGAACATCGAGGCGCTGGGAAGGTGGCTTGCCCAGAGGGAGTGTGGATGCTCTGTCCCACTCCCCCACCCCACGTGCCTTCCACCTGGCTGTTACTGAGTTGCATCCTTTATAATAAAGCAGTAAACGTAAGCAAAGTGTTTCCCTGAGTTCTGTCAGCAATTCCAGCAATTTATCAAACCTGAGGAGGGGGTCAAGGGAACCCCTTGACCTTACAGCTGTCTGATGAGAAGTATAAGAGCCCTGGGCTTGAAACTGGCATCTGCAGTGGGAGCAGTCTTATGGGACTGAGCCCTTAACTTGTGGGATTGGATGCTAACGACAGGGAATTAATGTCAGAATTAAATCACATTGTAGGACATCCAGCTAGTGTCTGGAAAGTTGGAGAACTGGTGTTGGTTGAAGGAAAAAATCCCACATATTTGGTGTTAGAAGTGTTCTGTGAGTAAAATACAGATCATAGGAATCCCTAAGCCAAAGACCACACAGATGCCCCCCGCACCCTACCCCAATCCTGGGACTCATCACAGTGAACTGTAATTGGCACTTCATCCACCTGCCTCACCCACTCTTAAGCTTATCTTACATCTCCCTGTATCCCTGGCTGTCAAGCACAGTGCTGTGCACACAACTTCACAACAAACGTGTCCAGAGTGAGATATCATCCAATTTTTTATCTTGTAATCAGCTACCAGCTTGGGAAAAATAAAACATCAAAGTCCTATCAAAGCACCAGACCATTTTGCCTCTGAGCTTCAAAGTCATCAGAGGACCAACAGATGGAGAGGCAGAGCAGCAAATGTGCCAGGTATCCCAAGGAGAACAGGCCTTTGGCTGACCTCCGAGGGCGTCAGGAGACGTCTTGCCCTCTCACAGCGTCTTTCTGCCCAGCTGGCAGTCCTCCTGCCAGATGCTGCCGTGCGTACGGCTGCTGGATCACAGCACGGCACGGCTGAGTGGAGCGGTCAGAGTCCAGCACTCAGCAGTCTTTTCCTTTTAACCAGCCCAGTGAGAGCCGAATTCAGACAAAAAATTAGACACCCTTAAATACAAGCTGGGAAATTATCTTCTCCTTCATCTATATCAGAAATGATTGCTGTAGCTCATAAATAACTTGGACTGGGGTCTAAATTTTTAAAATATACTCACTATTGTGTCCCCACTGAAAGATATGATCAAGTCTTACCTGCTCCGTATTTGTAAAGGTGACCTTATTTGGAAATAGGGACTTTGCAGACATAATCAACTTAAAATGAGGCCATGTCAGATTAGAGTGGGCCCTAATCTAACTGTTGTCTTTATAAGAAAGAAGAGAGAAATTCGGACACAGACATACAGGAGAAAAGGCCATTTGAAGGAGACAAAGCTTGGAGTCATGCATCTACAAGCCAAGGAATGACAAGGATTGCTGGCAACTACAGGAAGCTAGAAGAGGCAAAGAAGAATTCTTCCCCCCCTACAACCTTGAGAGGGAGCATGGGCCCTGCTGACACCTTGGTTTTGGACTTCTAGCCTTCAGAACTGTGAGAGAATAAATTTCTGTTGTTTTAAGCAACCCAGTTTGTGGTGCTTTGTTATGGTAGCCCTAGGAAACTAATGTACTCAAAAAAGAGAAGTTAATTGGCTCCTTCCCCATCAGTAGTCTGAGTCATAACACTGAATGAAAGACCTATCACACATTCTTTAAGAGCATTAGTCTAGACTCTTCAATTTTTATGTTGTATTTCTTTGAAGCTTAGTTTGATTTCCTTCACAAAAACAGCAGCTTTCTATGAATAATGTACCAATCTCCTAACATGTTAATATTTTATGCTTCCATCCCAGTCAGGTGCATATTAATATATAACAGAAGAGGATACCATTCCTAATCATGGAGAAGGCAAAGCAAAAGAAAGCTGAAATATTTTTCTAGGTCTTAAAGCTGACATTTCACATACTCAGCAGAGCTCAGTTGTGCAAGGGCAATTGGGAACAGAGACCTACCAGTTACAGAGTTGCTGAATGAAATATGGCAGGAATGGGTGCACACACACGTGTGTGTGCGCGCATCCAAACACAATGTACACCTTGGAAACCACTGACTAAGGCAGAAAGATAATAGTGCAATTTTCAACTCCCTATCTAAGCTGGTATATGCTTCCTCCCAACCTTCACCAAGTTCTCCAATGTAGACACATTTTTGGCTTACCATTCCTATGTAGTTAACATTCAACTCTTGGATGATCACTGACAGTGAAGAAACACTGACACCCAGAGGCCTAAATTGGCCAATTTGCAGTTCTACTGTCATTTGCTTGATCTTTTGAAAGCTATCACTTTCAAATCTCACTCTTTGACACCAAAAGCTCAACAGGCAAACAACATCATTTAGTCTCAAGGTAGTTCTGGAATAACTAAGACTGAAGCTTTTCTGGGTATGAATGGTATTATTAACTGCCATAAAAATTTAGGAGACATGATAAATAAATGATTTAAAGCACATCTCTGTAAATTATACTTATCATTTTTACTATTTAATAGCATGATAGAAGTCTCCACTTGATACCAAGAGCAATAAATAGTGGAAGCAGAAAACTCATTTTTAGAGACAAGGCCCTCTTTTGAGGTATTCTCAATCATTATCAAATTGTCAGGAGATACAAAAGTAGCCTGAGTATGGCAGAAAGAACACTAGCTTCAGGATCCCAGATCTGCCACTCAGAAGCTAAGCAATGTCCTGCACTTTTAAACGGAGCTGCGGAAGTGTAGGTAACCCACCTCTGCACAGACGGGGTGGATTCCGATTGTGTTGTCCAGCTGTTTTTTGGTCAGTCCACATTTGAGTGCGGCTGCAAAGCCTTGTGTAACTTCTCCAGCATTTGGACCCAGTACGTGAAATCCCACAACACGTTCCTAAGGTATAAAATAAAATAATACAATTAAACTCATTTTTCTCCCCTTCTCTTCCTACACAGTCTAGAGTATTTCCCCAGTTTATTCTAAACAATCCATTTCAGAAATGGCCAAAGATTTAAATTAATGTTTGCTGCTAACAGCTATGTAGGCTGAAGACTTCCTAACAGGGGGCAATACAGAGAGCTCGATGTGCATTTCAAGCAGGAAGGAAGGACAGGAGCGAGTTGTGAATGATGAGGAAAAATATAAAGGCAAAGACATCTACAGATCCTTAGCCACCAAAATGTTCTGGAAAATACTACCAAAGGACAGTGGTATCCTTGTTTTCTGTATTTGGTTGTCTCAGCTCCATGTAAGACTATCTGTGATAGCTGTGACATTTAAGGGCAGTCATTCAAATTGCAAAATGATTTTAACTAAGGTTTGGGTGTAGATTGTGCAATTAGATACTTTTAAGACTGTTCCAATCTGAAAATGTTTTTGAAAACAAAAGAAAAATGTTTGGCAACTATGAAATATCTGTGTAGGAATTATTTTGGATAAATTCTAAATCTCAAACTCAGACTACCTCTGCCAAAAGCAAAGAAATCTGATGCATTCTACTGTTCAGCTGATAGATTTTTAGAGCTGACTCTGACTAAGCTAGATTAAGTAGCCCAATTTCCTCATGAGGCAACTCAGGCTCTAGGGTGCAGAGCTTATCAAATGTTCCATCACTCCTTGGAAACAATCAGAAGGTCACTCTGCTGCCTAAGGACTGTGATATATTCCATGTTACACTCTTACACATTATTCACCCTGTTAATCAGAGGAGTTCAGGGTATAAAGTATAGCTATCTATAAGATAAACTACAACACATTTAAAATATACTAGATTTACATGTAATAATGTAGGAAAGTTCTCAAAAAATAATGACATAAAAAAGTTACAGGACTCTAGTCAATAAGGATGCCACTTGTAATTAAACCACGATACACTGTATAATGTTTCTGCATACATAAATAGGGGGCAAACATGAAAACACAAACATGAGAGACACTCCAACTTTAGAACAGTTTTGCTTCTAGGAAAGGAATAAATACAAAAGACTACACTGGCATAGGATAATATCAATAGCATGGAATCCACATTGCCTGGAGCTGATTTCTAGCTTTGCCCTTAAGCAGGCAAATAATTTGAACACAATTACTTAACTTCCATGTGTTTCAGTTTCCTCATCTATAAAATGAGGATAACAACAGCACAGACCTCATAGGATTACGTAAAGAATAAATAAGTTAATATCTGTAGATTTCTACATAGTGCCTGGTACATAATAGATGCCTACTAAATATAAGCTATTATAAACTTCATCTATGATGATTTCTCTCTTATAAGACAAAAGCCCTGAAGTAAATAACAGCAAAAATGTTAATGTTTATTGAATCTGGATAGTGGGTACCTTCCCCACCTTTATGTATATTTTCAATATTTTATGTAAACAAAGGATAACACAGAACAAAAGCCAGCAGACAATAAACATTCTAAGTACTGTTTAAAATCAAGGACTTTTAGACTCTGTGAAGTGACTGACTCAAAACGAATAAAGCATGCCCCGAGATTGGTCAAGTTCTAGAAGTATGCTTTTGCATCAGATCACTCATGACAAAAAAGCAATGATAAAATATTCATCTTCTCTACTATCTATGAAAATAACTGAAAACAGTATCACCCTATTTATGACCTCAACTATTTTAATTAAGGCAGGTTTACTGGTAGTAGAACTATTTTTCATATTATACAAGCAATGGCATTTTTTTTTTTTAAGTCAGCATATTACCGGGGTACAAATGTTTAGGTCACGTATATTGCCCTTGCCGCCCCTTCCCCCCGGCCCCTGTAGTCAGGGCAAGCAATGCCATTTAAACAAACATAACAGTGAAAGAAGGACAAAATAACCACATATGGTTAAAGTGGATTTGCTTGGTATGAAGGAAACTTCCATGGTTTCATTCATTGCTATGTGCAACTGTAGTCTCTAGAGGCAGTTAATAGACCACCAGAGAGAATACCTGGTGTTTTCTCCTTTTGTTTACAGAAGTGACATTAATAAAACTTATGTCTAAAATGAAAAAGAAAACTCTATATACAATTGTTCTTTCTATCAACTGTGTAGCTCATTACATGTTATCCTAGTATATTCATTTGTAGAGTATCCAGGGAAACGTTTTCTAAAACCCTGGGTTCTGCAAGAAAAAAAAAAAAAAAACAACCTGCAACTGTGCTACTGTCTAGAGCAGTAGTTTCTAAACAGGATACATGGCTTAATTATATTCAAATCTCAAGATAAAAAAATTATCAGAGTTTATTAGGCTTTTAGCATATGGATTCTTTAGCATTGTTTATATTTTTACTGAGGGCATTTTCAAGGTAATATACCAGCTAAGTTAAAAATACTAGTTTCATAAGAATCAATACAATACTTAAAGACATGCATATGTACATACATGTGTTACAGGTTACAATGTAAAAAATATATTTCTTACTATGTGGCAGCAGTCAAAAAAGTTTAGAAAACACCAGCTTACTCAATCCCTCATTTTGTAGGTACGAAACAAACCCTGTGAGGTGAAGGAGTTTGTCCAGAGGCCTTTAGTTGCCCGGTGTTACATGTAGCAGCAGGCAATGAAATCTTAAATCAGAACCCAATTAAGAGCTCTTTCTCATTAGTGCCAGTTGCTGAGGATCAAACTTGCATCACTTCTGTTTTTTGTTCATTATTTTTAGATAGACAATGACTTCATTTCCCCTCTTTTATAAACATAAACACAGACAGTTCTCGAGTTGTGCCTCTGGTTCCTCCATTCAAGAAGTTTTGACCACCTGTTGACTATGGGTAGGGCCCTGTCCAGTGAAGTGAGAGGACAGCAAAAGTAGAGCCAAGGTCCTGCCCTCTGATGATGTCCACACAGCTGGGAAGCCCAACAGGTAAAATACAAAAGGAATGCCACATGTATCAAATAGAACTACATATTAAAATCTAAATAAAATTATTGGAAAGGACTGAGAATTGCACTTACATTGTCTTTAATATTACAGACTACTTTTGCATAACATTTGTTGTTATCTCTTGATGGAACTGTCCATTCCAACGGCCAAAAGTAACTATGGTAAACCTAAGAAGATATAAGCACAATTCAGACCCATTATCTTAAGCAGTTTGTCAAACAGCAGATATGGTGAAAGACAGTGGGGACTCTTTAATAATTAGTCATTCATTAAACAATAAAACGCATGGACTAAATAGGAATCTATTACAAAAGGTAAATGATTTTAAACTCCTTGAATTCAGACACTTTTAATACAAGCTCATATCTTAATTAGGTATATCTCAACCTCAAAATAGTAAACATTAAGTAATAACAAAAAAAAAAAAAACAAACAACAAAGGAATGAGAAAAAGAAGCCATGTAAGTACTTGCTGTCTTGCAAACACATATTCACTCAAAAAACCTCCCTCAATACTATTTTGTTACCTTATAGGAATGACAACTTGGACATGAAACAAACAAAATGCCAGGAACAATCA